GCAGAAATGATGAATGATGTATGTCACTTATTTACCTACAAACAATAATGGTGCTGGTGTCAGCTAGAAAAACATGTGCTCAGAAACGTGGTAGAATAAAAACACGCTCTTTGACCTCACCAACAGTGTTGCCTAGAGACGCCATGTTTTCAGGAACAAACCTGTCACAGAGGGAAAAATCTTTTCTTTGCATCATCACAACAAGTCACTGTCAGAGTTCAACTGTTTTATTATCAAACTAACTGCTCCAAAGGCCAGAGGCACATCAGGCCATTATGTAAGACTTTCATAAATTAAAGCTGGAATTTAGAGGGTTTTTCACACCTGAATATTAAACATGGAGCACGTCATAAAACCATGTGTAACTCTGTCCAACAAATGAGTCGTGTGACACATCAAGACAAAAACAAAAACACAGATCTTTTCTAAAAATGATGCAATGTGTGGAAAGTTGTGTGTCCAGAACAGAAAACTAACCTTCTATCAAACGCTGAACTTAACTGAACTCCATCTGGACCTTGTTCAATGATGCTGACAAAGATCTGGTCCCGCTCAATCACGTGACCGTTCTCCAGACACACAGGGAATTCTCTGCATCGACAGCAAAGACGAGAGCACAGTGTGATCAACATCAAGGTTCACCTGCTGCTCATACAACAACATGAATCATGACTAGGATCTGACTAATACAGTTTAATTTTCAACGATGAATTTTCATCTGTGCACTACACTAAACTCTAAATCCACTTTGTTGAGTTTGTAAATTATATGAATAGTCCCTTTATCTCACCAGCTGTTATTGCCTCTAGTGTGTCTGAGTAAAATGAGCTGTGAGGAGCGGCGGGTAAAAGGTAACTTACATCCTCATCTCAGAGGTGAATGAGGACAGAGGAGAGAGTGTCCCACTGGTCAGAATGATGGAGCGGACACCTTGATTCACCAGATCCTGCATGCTGAAGCCAGGAGAGAAGCACCAGTAACTCAGTATGTTTCCTACAAGGTGCCAAGAAACACATAAGACCCATTTAACCAGGTTTACTCAGAGCACAGGAAAGTCAGAGAGACAAAACTAAACTAAAACTTCCAGCAGGGTTCATCGTCTGGGACAGGTATCCACACAGAACTTGTCATCTCAATATACCCGTTAGTTAATTTAAAAATGAGTTGTGACTGTGAATGCTACGATCCAACACAAAGTATCATCACCTTGTTTCTTTGATGAGGATGAAGCCCACATGTCAGCGCTCGGTTTTTTCCTGTGCTGGCTGGTGTCTCTGTGGATATGAACCTGAGCCAAACAGATGGATATGACCGCTGACGTCACTGTGTAGATACATGACATCACTTCCATATGGGCGTTCGTGGCCTCTGATGAACACGCACCTTAAAATGAGCCGTGTTGGACTGCATCCGCTGTTGTCTGTCCGTCTCTGACGGTTCACCGCTGAACACCAGCTATAAGACAAGACAAAGAAAGGAAGAGTTATTGACTCTTTAATTATAGATTATATAATGGATCAGTGATGTGTTCATTTGCACCAGTTCTATCAAAATTTGTCAGATGTTATTTACAGCAGCAGATTGAAAGTGATGGACAACTGCAAATAACCAAATGGAAGTCAAGAAGAGACACTGAAACTTAAAAACCGTCATATTTTGTGGTGAACAAACCTTTTTTTAATTTTGTTTTTATTGTTTTGCGTTGCTGCTTTATGTATGTTTGGGCATGTGTATGTGGGCAGGGGTTCATGGGTGCTGCACGTTGTAAGATGCTGCAGCACTTGAAGTAAAAAAATAAATAAATAAAATAAACAAAGTGAGATGATGATATTAATATCAATCATATGAATCAATCTCATAAAAACAAACCTTTGTGGTTTTAACAGGAGTTTCATGCTGGAGCTATGTCACGTAGCATACCTGTATGATGTTAGCCAGCTTCTCCAGTCCACTTGTGTTCAGGAATAGTCCTCCCTCTGATGAGAAACGCGTGTCAGACAACTCATTAGTTAATTGTATAAATTACTACACATGTGACTTTGTATTGAAACTTGCTCTGTGTGATAAACCCAGCAGATGAGTCCCGAGTAAGGACCAGAACTGAAGCATTATAGAGCTACTGGTTTACATACAGTTCCTACTTAAACCTAGCTATGGGGGGGAGATGGACAGCAGAACCAGATCTTAAATCAAGTGCCATGTTGTTTTATAAACAATAACATGAAGAAATCATACTGACGTCCCACTAAGTGTCCACTGATCTGCTCCAGAGCTTCTTGGACTGCCGTCTTGCTGCTGTAGGTCAGGTGAGCTCTCTCCAGCAGCTCATAGATGAAGCTGAGGTGAACAGAAGACACTTCATTTCAGAATTCATGTTCAACTAACTTTATGTGTTTATTGTGATGATTATTATGTTTTTCTCTCTCCTGTGTATTATTTAGATTTTTGTTGTTTTTTCTTTGTCAGACTGAGACTCCTTCAGCTCACATGACCATCACATGAGAGTCATTACATTCATTGACTTGACTTTTAACACTCTTCACAGCCTCTCTCCATGCTGAACATCTGACCTCTTCACAGCATATGAACCAGCTTGTAGCCTGAGGTGCTCGGGCAGAGGTCTCTTAGAGACGAGCTGCCCGAGGAAATCAGGTCAGCAGAATCAGTGACCTCTTTTTAATCTCTCCTTAAAAATGTACTTTTATAATCAGCCAATAGATGATAGACAGAAGGACGGATGCATGGACAGACATCGCTGTACTTGAAGCTGCGGGTAAAACTGTTGTATTCTCCTTTCTATCTTCCACCACTTTCACTTACATTCCAGGTTTTGTGATTCCTTTGTCACCAGGAACCTCATAGGAATCAATGGCAGCTTCCAGATCCAGCAGAATCTCTGTCAGAGGAGACAAAAGCAGTTTGGAGAAACCCCAGAGAGCAGAGCACTGATGAAGCGGGTTCACGAGAAATCATGGAAAGCACTAAAATAAGGCTCATTTTATCTTCTTCATACTTTAAAGAATACTTACGTTTGACTTTAGCAATGGTGGCTATGTCTATCTTTAGATCTGAAATAAAAAATATCACCAGCTGAAATTTAACAACGTAGACATTTATAGATCGATTTGTTTAAAACAATGTTTTTGTCAATCAGATGCCACAATGTCCAGGTCAGTGGTTGAGACCAACAAGCATTCTGACCAGAGCTGAGGGATTCCACGTTGAAATCTTCAGAGGCTCCATGGCTGGCTTCTTTAGCCTGCTCCACCAGCAGCCGGTCCACAGCACTAATGGCTGAGGCTACATCATAGGGAGTCAGGTCAAACGACGTCGACTCTTCACACGTCTTTTCCTGCAGACAACAGAAACATGATCTGGTGGGATGGTCTGAGAAGACCGTGGTCATGTCAGTCTTCATGACCCTGAATCACTGGACCCACATGGGCTTCTTCACTCAAACCGATTCTGTCACTCTCTTGTGTACAATTGTGCGGAGCATAATGCATAACTTTAGACTGTCTGCAAGAGTGCGCTGTTATCTCCATGTGTATGATCCGTCACATCAAGAGACGTTAAAGACACAGTTTTTAACACAGTCAACCTTTCAGTCAGAGCAGTCCGTCAGTTTCACCAGGCCACGGTTAATAACCAACCATTAATTAATCACAGTATAAACAAATGGAGACAAATTAAAAGGAAAAACCAGAATAAATGAGTGGAGAAACAGGATGACTGTCTCCACATGGGACACTGATGGTTTGATGAGGATGAAGATGATGTGAATCATATGCTATGACCTTCACAGTCACCAGATCTCAGTCCAGTTGAACATCTATTTTTTGGAGCGACGTGTTAAGACAGTGCTCTCCACCACCACCATGAAAGAATATCTTTAGGCGCGATGGTGTTCATCTCCAGTCAAGTTCAGAGACTTGGAGAATCGATGACAAGGAGCAGTGAAGCAGTTTACTAAGACACTTTACACTTTGGTTTAATTTTGGCGTTCAAATACAAACTTAAGTGAAGCGTGACTGAATAAATTATGACATCCACAGAGAGGACAGAGTCTTACCACATTATGAGCTTCATCAAAAATGACCACGGCTCCATTCAGCTCGATGTTGTGCGCCCTGCGGCTCTGTGGAACAAAGAGAGAGAGAAAACAAGAAAACTGATCACTGACTTCAAAACAAACAGCGTTGTGTCTTTGTACTTATTCCAGTGTATTCCATATAAATCAAAGATATCTGAGCATGAGATGCTACTGGTCAACAGTGTGACTTCGTGTAGTAAAGTTGAACTGAACATGAAAGATTTGTAATAAATTGTCTTGATCCTCCATTGAAGATCAACTCATCACGACAACCCACAACGCTCCAAAGTGTCTCTTTCCTAAGAGACCAAAACGTGGACTAACTTTAGAGTCAGCTCACCTTCGGATCCAGCAGGTAGTTGTACGGCATAAAAATGATATCTGCTTGCTGCTTCAAGGAACGGGAGAGGTAGTAAGGACAGACCCTGGAGAAAAATGTTTCATCAAAGAATTGTCTTATTATCCCTGGAGATAAACTGCAGAAGTCTCCCTGGAAACAAATGTAAAATCCAAATAAAACAAATAACATTCCTGCTATCTAAACACCGAAGTTTAAAAAGAATGGAAAACGTAGAAATCAGTCACCATCATCCTCTTTCTCTTCTGCTGTCTCAGCAAGGACGTTGACTAAGATTTGCTCAACTTTAAAGATATGTGGTACAGTATTATCTGACAGACCAAACTGATTGAGAAAATAATCGTCACATTAATCAGTAATGAAAAAGCTGTTTCACCTTCTAATGAGGCAGGACAGATATCTGTTGGTGAAACATATGAATCTCACCTCTGTTTGTTGCCGTATTTGACCAAGTCTTCCACATCAAGGATGGAGTTCACCAAGTCTCTGTCAGTGCTCTTCTCTAAAGGAGAAAACATAACATTAAGACCTGTGAAAGGGGGTTAGAAGTAGCATTTAACACACAGATGTGAAGCCAGAGCCAGATGTTATAAACATGTTATGTAAATGATACTGATGTTAAACTGCAACAATCAGCCTGTTCAACATTTACAAATGTCAAGCAGAAAGCAGCTTCTAGATTGTATTTTGCAACATGGGTATTGTCTGTGGTAGTCAGTCCTATTGTTGCATTATTAGACCTCACTGATAACCACTGTGTTACACCATTACCTTCAACATTATTGTAGAACACACATGACCTGGTGGAGACTTTTCTTCTGCACATATGGACCTGAAACAGTAAATCATTGAAATCTGTGAAGACTGGTTTAATACCAGCTTTACATCTCCACCGACAGAACCACTTATCTGCTGCTTCTTTAAAGAGAAGTAAGCAAAACATGCTCACCCAGCAGAATCAGTACATCCATATAAACCCAGCAGTTCATATCTAAAACACATCCTCCTGACCCCAACTACTTCTCAGAGTGTGTCTGCACCTTTAAGACAATTCATCTGCTTGGGAATTTACACCATGAACAAACCAGTAGTTTAGTTGGTTTACCTTGACATGGTTGCTCTCCTGACGCATCACTTCCTGGTTGATGCACAGCTGCTCTCTTGACCCCAGCACACACACCTTTGGCCTGAATCACCAGAGACATGAAGGTTACACTGATGCATGCGTTCACCAGAAGCACTGAGAGCTCAGCTCGTGTGTGTTACTGAGGACCCGGGTCAGTGCAGCGTTCACTGAAGTTGTTTGGATGAGCGGTTGTCAAGACCATAACCTCTGCATTTCTAAATAGAGCCCATTACATCCCATTAGGCTACTGAACATTTTGAACAGGCATTGACTCTTGACTCTAGTACTGAGTAGATAACATAGTTTACCTGTATGAGGTGTTCTTTAACTCACTGATAACCTGAGCGAGCTGAGAGTGTGTCCTGGATGCATATATGATCTTGGGAACATCAGTGTAGTAGGCTGGAACACAATGAGAACACACAATAATATATTTCATGGAGTTACATGAAGCACAATATCGTAGATGTAGTGAGTGGTCAGTTACTGTTTCTATAACTGAATAATCAGTTCTGTCTCTATGAGACAGGCACAGGCTCGTACAGGGTTATACGCTTTTCCATTTATCTGCATCTTCTACAGACCAGTTTCTTCAATTGATCTTTAAACACACACTCCAATTTATCCAACAGCAACTTAGGATGATGTAATATTGCTTGACTCACTTTTCTGTTAAAAGTCTTTTTGCCATTCAGACACTAGTGTCTGTTTCATGAATGTTCATTATGGCTTCGCTCAGACATTACAGGACACAACAATTAAAGATCAGTTGTTTAAAATGCTTGGTTACATTTGGCGCCTGTTTCTGTAAAAAAAATTTATTTCAGCCAGCATATGGTTATCAGATTCTTTAAACCCTCAAATATAGAAATGAGCATCAGTCTTAAAAACCCTGTACGAGTCGGGCTCGTGTGTGCCTGAAGAACACGCTGCCACTGAAACACTCAGTTGTCAGGTGATATGATATGAACATACTTGGTGTGTCACCATCTGTAGCAGCCGTCCCCCAGGATGACAGGGGTGTGTTCGGGAACATCTGCTCCCCACCCAGCTTCTCTGCTATCTTGCGGGCAGAGATGGTGTCTTTGAAGTTCTCCCTCCAGGCCAAGGTGGCACACAGCAGGCACAGGGTTTTACCTGTGCCCGTGGGACTCTCCAGAACCCCATTCACCTTCTGCAACAAACAGGTAGACATGTGCACTCTCTGGTGTGACAGAACAAGGAATATGATGTTTACTAAATTCATTATTCTGCTACTTATAGTGGCTGTATAGTTAATCCGCTAAGCAGCTGTTATCAATTCAAAATCCCAGGTCAAACATCTGCTGTGATCTGAAGTGTGTTGTTGTGGAAGATTATTATGGCAGTAAAAACCGAGATTTCCACAGGCACCAAACATCATCTGCCACACAGGAGACTCTAAAAGATGATGGTGCGTTCATGTCTAATAAAGCTTAAAGTTTCTTTTGTTTTTACAACTGTACACTGGCTGTCCAGCTGAGAGACATTACAATAACTGATAATCATGGCGCCTCATTTGGCTCCGGTGATGGCGTTATGTAGTTTATTTCATCAGTACTTACCCTTTGAAGACACTCAATCACTTTGTTCATGTAGTCTTTCTGACAGTCATATGGAGGAAAAGGAAAATTCACTGTCACTCCACGCAGACTCAGTGACGACATTATGCGTCTCCTAGCTTAGATCAGCAACAACATGAACTGACGTAGTGTTAAAATGACACTAAAATCTAATGCTAACTGCTTTAGCCGCAGTGCACAGTAGTTACTCTCGTGTCAGACCAAGTCATGTCTCTCAACATGTCTGCACTTGGCGCTTTCGGCTTTAAGTCCGCTGCTCATGCGCACTGGAACGACGTGCCTCTGCTGCGTTCAAGTGCCCACGGAATAGTGAACATATCAGCGTCAACGCTGCAAAGGCAGGTTGCAGATGAAGATCGCGATTGGCTTCTCTAACAATGCAGATAAATGATGGTGAAAGTCATGTATAAAATAAAAGTTGTAATATTTATAACACATACGATATCCATACTGCCCCACAAAGGCAAAGAGCAGTAACTGCAGAAACAGTGAATATAAGAAGAAAGTGTTTTAAGGTTTTCACACTCGCTGACAAACAGTAGCAGACAGAAAGGCTGAAATGCCTTAATTTGCCTTAAAACAGCTTAACTAGCCTGGTTACCTTTTAGATAGATTAGTTAACTCAAGGCTAAATTACCAACTGCCCAGTTGACAACTGACTAGATGCTGCTGTTACTACCTTTATACCCCTCATATTTTATTCTGCTGGATTGAGTGTTAATAGTGACCACAGTTATTATTACAGGGTTTCTTTGTGGTTAATCATAATTCATTGTTTAATTAGTGCATTTTTTGACCAGAATATTTAGGAAGACTGTCTTCAAAAGATGTTTCAGTTCATCTTCTACTTGGAAAAGTGACATAGCAAAAGCATATTTGTAAAAAATTAAATTATCAGGTTGATTTTTTAAACACCACATTCAGGGTTAGAGTATTGGTGGATAACTTATTTGTCACTGTTCATGAGTTGAAACTCATGAACGTTAAACAATCAGTGGGATCAATAAGAAATTTGAGTGTAGTTATTTGTGGGGCTGGGTATATAACCTCAGTTCTTTTCCGTTTCTGATCACAATGTGTCTGTAGCTCTGATCATCAGCAACTGTCACCAGGATCCAAAAAATGTCACATTTACCTTTATATAACGATTAGAACACATTGAAATTGCTGTTTCAAGAAGTCATTGTCCACACATAACGATTACACAATTCAACAAGTACATTGTTTATTCTATTATATTGGAATACAATAATCATGAAATACAGTCAGTGGATGTTGGACATCCTACTCCTCTCCAGCTGAGGGCAGAACAATCTTGTTTGGGTCGTAGTAGTTCTCCGCTATGAGAGGAAGACCCTCCCTCTCTCTCTGCTGGATCACAAGCTCCGCCTCCCTTCTGGCCCACTGCCGCATTCTGGAAAACACACACGCGGGAGAAGATACAGTCAGAGAGAGGAGGGAGTGAGAAAACCAGACAAAGAAACATTTTAATACTTAACATTAATAACAAACTCCAGCTTGACTGTAAAACCCCCAAATTATTCTTTCACTGAGACCAAGGGTGTGGTCAAAAAGGTTTCTAACTGAGTGAAATGACCTGGAAGTATCTAAGTAGCATCCATGATGAGAGCTGGTTGAATTTTTAAAGAAGACAAGTCCTTTACATTGAACATTTCTAATATTCTATCCTCATTGATATAAAGTGTGTATGATACGCTTCGCCACATGACTAATGTCCTTTATTTCATTTTGGTGAAGAAAAGTAAAAAAACAAGTCTGCTTTGAAAGAAGTAGTCAGGTGATGTAATCAAACCATGACTCAGCAGAACTATCACTATGGCATCAGACAAAACGTCCTGACATCACACCTCTCATCTCATATTCGACAGCAAAACTGAGAGCAGATATGAACGGATGGGAACTCACCCGTGGTCTGGTAAATAGTGGATAAATGTTGCTCCGATAACAAGAGCCACTGAGATGCCAAAGAAGAAGCCAACCTTCATGTTCCAATCATCCACCACAGGATCACTGGAGAAGCCATGGTAGTCTGGATTCTGACAAAACACAAAGAGGAACAAATTATATACAAGAGGCATAAGACACAGTAGAGACCTTCAGCCGGTTTCACTGATGTATTCACTGATAGTCTTCACTTTTTATTAGTTATGTCACCCTGGATCAAATCAGGACAGGTGGGGGTGGGGGGTGGGGGGGTTCAGACTTGGGCAAAATAAACAACTGAGCTTAAAACAGCAACATTCATATTCGATTCCCTTGATTGAATATAAAGAATAGACATGCTCCCCCATAGCCTGCCTGTTACACTCTGCCTCCTCCTGACCTCCCTTCCAGTCTCTGTTGGAGCCCTTTCACTCCCATACACCCTGTGTTCTTGGAGGTGACACAATTATTTGAACAAAGATCATCCGTGAGTTATGGAAGTGGGACGAGTGATTTCAGGTTAAACACAGCTGTATCTAGGAGATCCAACAGTTAGTCAGTTAGTTTCCTGGAAAACGCTTTATTACCACAACTAAGAAATTTTCCAATCAGGTTTACTGACAAGTACAAATTACAGAAGGAGACAAGAGCATTTTCAATGTTACTATTCATCGATTAACTGATTCAGAGTCTGTGATAAACTGGTGGGCATTTTTCACAGCCACCTGACCTTTTATAGACCAAACAACTTACTGATTAACCAATAAAATAACAGATGGTGATGAGTCCATCAATTCAAGTAATGGTTATTTCCTAAGATGTAGTGAGCTTTGATACTGAACACATATGGAGTAGGAACAGTTTACATTTACCAAACTTGTATGGCCTTGGATGTGTAATTCTTCTGTGCGTCTTTGCACAGTGTTGCTCATAGTGGAGGACATGCTATTGTGCAGACAAGTAACTGTCACGCTGTAAACTACAGCACACTACAGCAGTGCAGCAACAAGACAGCATCAGCTGATACAGACCCATTACTACGGACTAGAGGCTGTAACTGCTGCCAAATGTACCTGAGCTGAATATTGACAAGGAGATTGTAAATTCTATTGTGGCAAGTACTTAATCAGAGGTGGAAGAAACAATTTACATTTACTCTTGTAAAATGCTAAACGCTAAAATACTAATGGTGATTCCTTCAGCTGTGAGTTCTACTTTCACTACTACCATCAGTGAGATGTTCGCCACCTTTCTGCTGTTTCTGATAATCCCTGTTATTGTGACTGCAGATCTCATCAGCTCGGTTTTTGAAAACTTGGAGGGGGCAGTGACAACGTACAATTTTTGACTGGTTATATTTTATATTGAGAACTAGCAGAGAAGCAGGATTTAGAGCAGATTGTGGAGGACTTCATAGTGCACGAGACACAGAGGGATGTTCGGACCGGCATGTGCAACACCGTAAAGCATCAACAACTACTGCGTTGCCAAGCGCTGTTTTGTCTGTTTGTCAGCTGCAGCCGCTGTCGAGTTCATGTTGTAGGAGGACTAAATAACACAAATACCTCTCTGTAAAATGCAATACAGCTCAGAAGCGCCACACACACTACAACCTCCAAAATGATCACACAGTTCAACCAACAACTCTCTCCAACAATTAATAATATTAAAATTGCAGAACTGTCTTATTAGACTGCACTTTTAAGTAACTTGAGTACAATTTTCCTCTCCTGTGCTTAGGTTTGTACTTAATGTCCGTATTTGGTTCAGTCCTGTCACTGACATCTGCTCCATTTAAAATGTCTTTTTGTTACATTATTAAAAGCAGGAATCAAGTCCAAACTTGGCTCCGCCTTTCTGGACTCAGCACCTGGACAAGAGAGTTTACACTTACATCCATCAGTAAATGTCTGGTGTCACTCTCTGGTTCTTATGCTGATCAGTGTCACAGAGCGCAGACACATCCACAGTGACTGTTGTGAACCAACCAAAGCTGAACTCGAGTAACCTGAGTGGACTGGCGCGCGTGTGTGTGTGTGTGTGTGTGTGTGTGTGTGTGTGTGTGTGTGTGTGTATAGCTTTAGCAAGCTAACGTCAGCTCTCTGATGCATTTCACAGAGGCTCTGTTAATTGTGGTGTAACAGCATATTTTGGTTTTCAGTTAGGTGACCGCTGTCTGCACATGTGACATAAACGTGTGTTCTGTTAATAAACGTTCACGTAAAGTAACGTTAACATATCATGGAGAGGAACTCACCTTGACATACTCGCTGACCTCACCGTGTCCAGCGCTGTCCGCAGCGGGGTGCAGCTCCGTCACAGCGGTCGAACCAGCGGCACCGGTCGGTTTTGACTGGGAGACGAACCGGGCCGGTGGATGGGAGAGTAACCGGGGCAGAGCGGGCCCGAGCCGTGAAAGTCGGGTCAACATTTTGACTGTTTGTGAAGGAGACAGTTGACCCGGAACCGGAAACTGGACCCTTTACCCCTCGTCCTCATTTCCTACAGCTTAAAGAGGGCATTACCGCCACCACGAGGTGATCGACGGTATTGCACCCTGAGGATTCAACATCATGAGATCAGTTGCAAACCCTGTAATACCATTAACTTGTCTCTTTTGTATTCTAAGTTTGCTAAGTAGGTTCTCAATTAAATCATTTAAATTTGCTGTTTATGTGGTGAAATTGAGGCCACATATTATGTATATTAAGTGTATGGTGTCTTTAGTCAGGTCCTCTAAACAGTGCTGAACACATGCTGCTGACGACTACTGCAATCACCAAAGTATTAAAAGTATTTTCACGCTGTGTAAATAAAGAGGATTATTATCGACAAAGTATCATAATCCAAATGCACATATATTTTAGTTCACCTTTCAGGCTTTTGTGGAATTTTTCAGTGAATTAAAAAAACGACCATCCTTCACCCAATAAATTGCATTGATTATAATTTATTTGTGTCCCATATACAGCCAGTAACACTGTTGTGTATTATATGATTAAAAAGTTTAACCTTGTGCACATATATAATTTAATGAGATAAACAAATCTTTTTTTTCCTCTTTTTTTTTACAAATGCACATATTGCTAGCTCGTAGTCCAGCTCGTCCAGTTACTAAAGTTATTTTTAAATATGCTATTAAATACTGATGTACAAAAGGAGGCCAAGCCAAGTGTAAGAGTAATAACCACAATCATCACAAGGGTCTTCCTAAAGACATGAGATTACTTCAGTTTCTGCTTAAAACAGAAGCATTTGACAGAATGGGATTTCCCTTCTGGAGGTGGAGCCGTTATACTTCCTGTTTGGCCCTCTACATTACAGACTACTGAAAATACATAGTATAGACCACACAAAACTGAGAATAAAGTCGTAAAGGTAAACAATGCTGAGAAAAAGAAGGGGAAAAAAAGACATTTTTCATAGAATCACTCCCTGACTTTGTTCTAGTGTCCATATATCCCCACATGTTCCCACACTACTGAACTATAGGTCCAAAAATCATCAAGATTTATCTGGGAGAAAATCTGGGGATTTTTGGGCACTACCACAAAATCAGGAGGTGCACCTCTTAGGATTTATTAAAGCATAACTCTGTGTTTGACTGATTTCCCATTGCAATGCAACAGCCATGTACAGTACTTCATCTATATTAATTTAATCCATATCAAAATAAGGCAGAGCCATGTCAAGATTTATATACTGTCACAAACAAGCAAAGAAACACAAAGTAATATTATGGTTCCATGACCCATGAGCGTAGAGTTGCTGAGTGGTGGCTTTCTTGCGTTACAATTTCAATATCTTTGAATTTTAAACATTTTAAAATATCTTCTCAACTCCTTAAAAATTACATCACAGTTTTAGTTACAGTTGATTCATTTTAAACCAAATGGAAAAACATGATCAACCCTTTCAATGAACGATGTCCACTACAATGGAAAGTTAAATTATATCCTGCCTCGCATCTCACTTAAAGATGGAATAAGTGATTCTAGTCCAATACACTTTTTGTCAAATTCAGTGAATATCTCCTCACGGCTGCTAGCTGGTGAATCTGGTGTTCCTACACAGCCCTGGCTTGGTAAATGGGAAATAAACAAAGTGGCTCGGCCCGAAGACAACACTATTCCTGCCAGTCAACAACAGGGGAAATCTGTGCTTGTAAACAGGACAAGGGAAGGAAAAAAAGAAGAGGGGAGATGAGGGAAGGGGGCAATGGGAGGAAGAGATGGTTAATCTGGCACATGTCATTGAATAGTTGTAATTTAAGGATTACCATGGAGAGGAGAAGGAGCAGTGTCCTCCTTGTTGCTGCCAGATGGAGTGGAGCTTTGAATGGGATTGTTTGGGGCTGCAGATGAGAGGGCAGCGATGATGTCACAGTGAGACCATGGAAGGAACCAGTGGCGGCCTATCCTCCCCAACATAGTCACATTGACATTGTTCTGCAGTGTTTCACACAGCTACTAAGTCGGTAATTGTTTTGTGCCATTTGTTAATGTTTGAGATAGCTGACTTATTGTTTGCTCTATAACGTGGTATTTCACCATACAACCTGCAGAGTGGCATGAAGACGCCCATGTCTGTTTATTTTTCAGCACGAACTTGGTGGAGGGACGGGACATGGACCAGGGAAGAACCAGTTGCATTTTGAGGTAGATCTGGATCATTTACTGTGAATTAATTTATTTTTCTCTTAAATCTGGTGTATGTGTGTGACCTTGCCCTTCTTCTTGCTATGCCAGGCGGTTACTACTGTTAGCGTAGCTCGAACTTCACTTCTATCTCTGTAGTTTGTAAAAATAATCTAATCTTTTTTAGTATAGGGTTGTGTCAACATCTGGGGGGGCGGAGCTTCTGAGGAAGCACTGAAGGGAGGGGTGTAGTTGTTTTGCTTTTGAGTTCAATTATCAAGTCTTTATCCAGGATTGCTTACTCCACCTTCAATTGAAAAATACATTTTCACATGTCTGCTTTGTTTGGAATAAAATTATTTCCAAAGTCCAAATTCAGATACAAAGTCATTTAGTCTTCGTGTCTCATAATTTAGTGACATAATCTTGACATTATTTATTGTAATTTTGAAATTTAGAATATGTAAACATTTTTAATTTAGACTTTGTATATCATAATTTTGACTCAGTAGCTCCATTCTTTGATGAAGATCTACAAATGTTTCCTCTTGTCCTGGCAGAAATGTGTTTCCAGAAAAAGTCAATGAGGCGTTAAGATAAGGATCAAATAGAAATATATAGAGTCAGTGAAATTTGGTGAGATCCTGTTTTACTACTACTATACCTTAAATGGTTAAAAATTACTTTTCTACTGTAGTGAACACCATGCATGAAAGCAATCATTGATACGACGCATTCAAATTATTTAATTCAAATATCTCTCAGTCCTAAAACTGGCTTTCAGATCAGTCTGTATGATGACACAAAGTAGACATAAGAGCACAAAAGAAAATATAAATCAAGGCTACTGATTCAAACAAGTGAGGCACTTCTCTGCCAAAAGGTTGCACATAGGCTTATATTTTTGGCCATGGCCATCACATCATATTCCACTCCAATTGTAAAGATATTATACAGCCAGGACTCAGTTATTACTTTTTCTCTACCTTTAGCAACCACAGAAAGCAAATACAAAGACTGTCATATGTGATACCTGCAATTGTGCATTAAATTAGCCTCATATAGACATATATTTCAGTGGTTTCATTGAAATCAAAATACAGACCAACAGAGCAAAAAGACAGTCTTTGGGAAACAGCAATAACCAAAGTGCTAAAATGATGCGTCTTTGAATAATGACCCACCAAAGCATTAAATAATGTACAGTACTTCCTTCACTACTGTTGTAGTTTGAATGTATGAGTCCAGCACATACAGTGTATCAACAGAATGGTATTTGTACATGTAGATCAACACCAAACTGCTCCCTACAGTACTGCATCCACATATCTTCATAGTATAACATAACTACATGACAACATGTCTCTACTCAATGTGATGTCATCAATACAAAAAGGATCCGCTGGTTTGTCCTGTTGTAACTATGGAGACCCTAGCTATGCACCAAAGTTGGACTTGAGACTTTGTGATTGGCTGAGTCACATTCAAAACTGTAAAAACAAACAAGAAAAACAAAAAATTGTAAAAGAAAAAAAGAAAGAAAATTGTTTAACCAATGTTAAACCTCCTTCTGAACATATCACTGATACATACTCATTGCACTGACCCAAAATCTTTGAATACATCAGTCACACGTCCCCTCCACCTCACCGACACTGCACTTGGGTAAGAACAGAAGTAAGGTACAGAAGTAGTGAGCCATTTAACCAACATTAAACTTTTAGAAAGTTTTGTTTTGCTGATTGAAGCAATTTATAAGTAATCTACAAGTGCAGTCTGAAAGTGGTGGAATGTACGGGCCACTGCAACATTATTCTGTTTAGACCCAGGTCTCTGGGTGTCTCACTACGCCAGCAAGTCCAGATGCAACAGCACTTTGGAAGAGTAAAAGGAAAAATCCAACACAACACCGGTTCACAACAGCAATGTGTCTTGAATTTGTGCACTAAAAGGAGTAAGGAGAAAAGTGAAGCAGCAGAGGCATCAGTGAATTTCAGTTGGGCTCCCAAAACACTGGATCCTCCATTTCCCATGATGCAATTCAATAGGATCTCTTTATCATCTGACTTTTCAGCGTCGCGCAGCGCTGACTTAACATGATGCATGCTGGTTAGAGATTTTGTCCGACTTTCGCAGGGGCTGCAGAACGTCACCATGTCACATGACATTAAAACCTTGTTAGAGCAAGGCTGCTGTAGTGTTTTCCTGCTGCACCGACTGGGAACCACCGACTGGAACAACAGAACTTTGTCCTTATTGGCTGAAGGCTTCACTGATGCACATGATGTTTTTATTCTAAAAACTTCAGATGTTATCTCCCGTGGTGCTCTCTCCAAAAGGGGATGAAATTTATTTGATCTCCTCCTTTTGGTAGCTCATTTTTTACATATGAGCACCGACACTATAGTTTCCATTTCCAGCCAGAAAGCTGTAAAACAGTTTAGCTCAGGAGTTTGTTATTATAAAGGAAGTAATGCCCTTGCAGGTCCTTTTTTAACATTTTCACAAGTATGAAATAAAACGACATAGATATAAAGAGACAAAGACATAAATAATATTAACTCTCAAAGTAATGATCTAGCAGATATTGCATGTGTGACATTTCCCCCATACACCTTACACCCATCACCCTCCATGTTCTCATTAAACATTACTCAGATTTAATTTCATGTCATGACAAATTGAAAGTTGTATCTGGCAGGAAAATGTTTTAGAACAATGTGTTTGGATGAGTAAACGGTGTATTAAGGTTTTGAAAAATATTCTGACATATCGAGGGTAACACTCACATTTGTAAATAAAGAAATCCACAGACAAGCTGTGCACGCTGTAAGATCAGTGCAACTTTTGTTACACCGTCTTTCAAACTGCACCTCAAGGTTGTTTCTGTTATAAAGTTGTAGTCTCCAAGCCCAAACTGAGATGACCCTGATGACATCACTCTGACATCATTATTTTCTCAAAATGTGTTCAGACAGAAAGTAAAGGAAATTTTTTTGTCCTAAAGTCATTTGCATGAATTTTAATGCTGGGCCATTTTGTAGTGTGTTCGCCCCAAACAGCCAAGATGCATATGGCACAAACTTTAGCTGTAAGCTAGCAACAGACGCTCAAACTTAAGTGTGTGGGAATGAGCCTCTGACTAACTCTGAACTTTTCTTCCACCCTCCTTTTTCCTCTTGTCTCTGTGTTTATAAAACAGATTTAAAGAACCAGAGTAAGTGTGATCTTTTGCTTCCTACTCGACCTCACCAAACCTCTGGGAAAAGTAACATCTCGTCCAGCAGCTTGTTACATCTGTAAAAGCTACTTCATGATATAATAAAGGACTACAGTCTGCCCAGGGATAAAAATGATGATACCTACATTTTAAAGGCAATATTTCCAGACTCTTGCACTGTGCTCTCTGCTCAGCTGTGCTTGTTGAGGCATGCCTGGGCAGGGCCTTGGAAAACTTGGATTCCTGACTGTTTTTGGCCAGTTTAAGCCTTTATTATAAAAGAGCTGACAGGAAGGCGGGGGAAAGAGAGAGGGGAAAAACATGAAACATGGGTCCCTGGCTGGACCTGAGATGGGGACATTATGATTTATGGTTTGCATCTTAACCTCTAGGCTACCAGGGCACCCCAGAAATACTGGCTTTATCTATATATGTTGATTAATTCCAGGTGGACAGCAGACATCTATGAGACTGTAATATAATGCTGAAGATATACTATTAGCTGGTGGTCAAGCTGATAAAAAATGTTTATATTTTTCCCCAAAGATCTGTATAGAGAACGTTTGTGTCTGAAATACAGAGTAAGGTATTGAATCTTGAGGTCACAAATGAGGCTAGGGTATCGTGAGAAGACCAAATGCTGGAAGGGTTTCAAGCTTCAATTCCCGGTCATACCAGAAATTCATTCCAGCTTATTCTCTGGCTGAGCATAGTTACACATAGCCGGATGGAAAGTCACAGTTTGAATTGGTTAACATTGCAAATTTGTGTCAAACTTCACCAGAGATGTATTCTGTGTAAAAGCTCTCCTCCAAAGCTAATCGGCTCATCCCTTTGAAACCAAATGATTTTGGCCTAAACTGTCACTGTAATAAATGCTGGTGTAATCTGGCCTTTAAAGTGTGATCTGGCCGTAGACAAAGCAAACAACGGAGCTCACCAGGAGCTCCAGTTTCTCAGTTTTTTTTACTGCAGTTTTCTTCTCATCTCTATATGCATGAATTTTTCACATGTATTTTAACCCTTGTGCATCTTTTACTGAGATTTGTATGCAACTGCGCCACATCTAAAATTCAACTTGTGTTCTGTCTGAACACACTTTTAGACAGAACCTCAGCAGCAGTTTTCCACCTTACAAAAATGTATTGTCGATTTTCCCTTTCAGGTTAATGGTGGCAAGCTGGGTCAGGAAGGTTAGGTATGTGGGCTGGCTTTGTCATCAGTTTATCTTATGACTAATTTAGATTTTGGTTCACAAGTTGAGCTGTTTCTGTAAAACTCCTTATGAACAGGAGCCATTTAAACCTTGACTTTCAACAACTGAGTCTGAATTTTCCCTTTTGTTTTGAACTGATTTGAGTGCTTTAGTTAAGACACTTTTGTGGCTTATTGGACATAACATGAGAATGTAAACAAAGTTAGTAAAGAGGGCAACACAGGCTAAATGCACCAAGTGGCTAAACTTTTGTTGGTTATGGCAAAACTCAGACAGTCTTACTGTCTGACCGTCAAACGCCTGAATCACAGGGTTCAACATGTCATGCATCAGCAACCTCAGAGGACACAACGAGAAAATTAAGCTCTTTCATCACCTATTCCAAGGACAGACAACTCGTCCGTCAACTGGAAGGGTTGATGAAAAAACTAAACATTACAATGAATACTGACATAAGGAATATAAATATATATTCAAGCATACACAGAATGAGTAGATTATTAACAGCCCTATTCAATTTGGAAGGCTGACTAAAAAAGACCGACACCTCCAACGGGCCACAGTCAGTCTTCTGAGGAGTTCAACTGAGGATGGGAAGCAAATGATGCATGATGGAATCAGGAAGTGGGGGAAAGGGCAACTTGAGCTGTTGGGGAGGGAATTGTGGTTGCAAGGTTATAGGTTGAGTTCGGAGATGATGACTGAGGCGATGCTAAAGGGCTGTAAATGCGCTGAGCAGAGATGGTTGAAGAAGGGGAGTGTTGAGCAGCATTAGCTGTTGTTGGGGAGTCCGAGCTAACCTCATCCCCTTCCTCCGAGTCCCACACTTCACTCTGCAAATAGTCTGCAAATAAGGCCTTGGCTCGTTGCAGCACCCTGCTCAGGTTATGGCGCCGCACAAGGCGATCAAAGTGCATGGCTAGCTCATTGTAATCCAAGCTGTTCTTGATGATGTGGTCACGGTGCTCCAGCAGGATGGACATGCACAGGAACAGCATGAAGGGATTGCCTTTGCCGAACTCTTGAGGAGGCGGCAGGGAACACGGTTTGATGCTGGTGGTCTCAGCTTTCAAAGAACTGGGTGTGTTAGCTGTGGTGCTGGGGGTTTTGTTGCCAGGTGAAGGGAGATTATTGGAGGACGACCTGCTGCCAGACAGCAAGGGGCCTCTTCCAAAGGACAAAATAGGTGAGGAGAGTAGGGATCTATTCTGAGTATGCGAGGGAGACGCAACAGATGTTTTTACAGTGGGAGTTGTGGGTGAGTTGATCCCTGTGCTGCTGAGCACTTGGGCAGAGGAAGTCAAGACTTTCGGAACAGTTCTTGGTAAGGCCTCTCTTCCATTCATTGTGGGTGCGGGTGTGGATTTTGGAGGAGACTCTGGAGAAGCTCCCGGCCAACTGGAGGGTGAAGTCGAAGATGTGGGAGAGACAGAGGAGCCAGTTTTCCACATTGGTAGGCCACTAGGAAAGAGGGGAGGTGATGACATTGGAGAGAAACCATTGTCACAGTTTTTTATGAGAGGTGTCCTCTCTCCTGGGTCCTCCTCACTGTCAACTGTGGACTGCCGCCTTGCGATGCTTGGTACTGACTTTGAAACCACCAAACCCTGTGGCTGCTCAGCATCTTCCATATCAAAGCTATCTTCATTCCGGGCAGTATAGTATTTAAAATCTCCAAAACTAGTTTGCCTCTCTAAGGGAGGAACCTTCAGATCTGCCTTTTCCACGCTCACTTGATGACTATCATAATCACTGGCCTCACTTCCATTTCCAGCACCAGCATTTTGCCTGTCTTTTTCTTCTATGACAGCATTCCTGCTCACATCTGGTTCTTCTCTCGAAGGCCTCAGCATATGTCGCCTACGCTGCTTCTCTTTTTGTTCCTTATCATCTTCAAGGCAGTTCTCAACTGTCTTGTCTTTGTCTCTGCGGGTCATTGTTTCATCTGTCTCCAGCGGTGGTCCAAGAAGCTCCACTTCGGTTTCAGGAGGATCCGGGGGCAGGGAGCTCCAGGTAACCTCAAGCATCCTCAAAGCATCGTCAAACGCAAATTCTCGCTTGAGCTCCAGAAGCAGCCAGCGGTAACAGAAGAAGAGGTCGTCGGCTCCTCTGGACACCAGGTAGGAGTAGAACTCGGGATCAGAGTACTGCAGGAGCAGCTTTAGATGCTGGAACTTAATGGACATGAGCTGCCCATCGGGCCGGAAATTCCCCTCCAAACGCTTCATAATGCCACAAAAGCAAATGAAGGCATGTGCCTCATTGTCCATTACTGCAAGTATAGGGGAGGCAATATCACTCATGCCTTGACAGTATGATATCTGAAAAACAACACATCCACACAAAGTTACAGAAGTCTACAGTTTAGAAACAAAAACTGAATTTTAAATCACGTAGATATTCACATGCTTGCATTATTATGGTATTGTAACTTCATTGAGACTTTTCTTTATCTTTCTCATTTGCTGCTTTTGTCCACAACAAGTAACTGAACATTTAGGCTACTAGGACTTTCAAAAGGAAGCGCTGACCATATTTGGCATTCTGAGGGCATCTGTATGTAAATGAGCCTGTACATGCAAAAGCAGATGGATGTAAACCAGGCAAGATTTCTTGGTGTTTATTGTGTGAAGTTGTGCGTGCGCAAGTTTGATTAATGCCAATTTTTTGGTTCCTACAGACAGTTTCACACGCTCAGAACTTTCTCTACACATGCTTTGTTAAATGAGGCCCTGGGTTTTAGTAATGATGACAGTGTCTGTTTTGGGTTGGGTTGCAATTACTGGTTCCATTTTGGATCTGGTCGACAAAATATCTAGAATCACTAGTCTCTTCTCAAACCTTTAATTGCTCCTCCTTCTTTTTGAATAATGTGCAAACCTATTTTATAATTAATATTTATCTTCAGCTGTTCCTCTCATTTTTAAGTTTAAGCTAGAGGTTGTCAGTATCAATAAGGGTTGCACAAAAAACGTAAAAAAGTATCTTTATTGTAGGTGATTATAGATCTAAATCGAATATTTGAGTATTTTTTTTTAATGTAAATGTGGAGGGCAGGGGGCCCCTCAAGGTAAAATCAAGACAACAGCAGCTGCCTGACCCCAATCCCAACAAAGTTACAAGCCAACTGACTGAACATCTCTACAAACCTGGGGATGTGTGATGGCAAATGTCGTGAGCAGGTCTGTCAGGGCAGTCAAGTGCGGACTGTCTTCTGAGCCTGCGTAATATGGATGAGCCCGGTCCGTCCTCAGGACATCTTTGAGAACATTTCCACGGATAAATTCAAGGTCCTCGTGACTGACCCGGGCAGTCCACTCACTCTTCAGCTGGTCATACTCCCTTGTCTTCTTCTTCATGTAGTCCATTCTTTCCTGTCCACTCAGTCCATCAGGGTAGACGTTCAAGAGGTATCGCCAAACAACCTAACAACAGAAAACAATTCAGAAGGTCATTCTTAAATCGATTTCATGTCACAAAATACTAATTATATAATTCAATATATGAATGCGTGATTTTAATTTCACTATAAAATTTCGGTTTGCATTTTTTGTGTGTGTGCTTAAGACACAGGCAGAAAAAAGTGGCGTTTTTGTTCTTTGGAGGATAGAGAAGAAAACCCTGTGAATAATCACAACTGCATATTCATATCAATTTGATATTATCAATTATCAAGTTGATAATCAATTAAATCTAACTAATACCCAACACTGATTATTTGGAAAAGTGCAATACATGGAATTGGTATGTAATGCCAGTAGAAGTCAGGGGCAGCACCTTGCGCAGTGAAGGCTCCACACCACCATGGTAGATTCGCAGTCGGAGTTCCTCAGGTCGTGTCAACTGGCCCTGTCCATTGAGGTAACTGTGAAACTCAGCATCGCTCAGAGGAGGCTTGAAAGGCTTGATCTCCTCCCCATAAGACCAGCTGAAGGCCTGCTGGACTCTAGACAAGGTCCGCCCCACCTGAACACAAGTGAAACAAGCACATAAGCAAAGATCCTGACTCATCGAGACTAGATGAGAAAGGTTAAAGAAAGAGAAGGAACCTGGGATAGTAGAGACTGGGTGAAGGGGAGAGCTGCAGATGCCAGAGACTTAGTCCTCTCTGCAAGAAGCTGCTCAGAGCCGATCACGTCTTTAGGGCTTATGATGTCCCAGTCCTCCATAACAGGACCTGCAGTTGAACAAAACGTAGTAGACTTAATCATCAATGTTAGTTCTTCCTCTATTTTATACTCCTACTTAAAGGATTGGTTCACAATTTTTCAAATCAATCGGAAACCAATGGTCAGGTGTCCATATGTACATTGAAACAGGTTTTACTCAATATAGTCATTCCTCCTGTTCATTAAAAGATCTTGCATCAAAATAATATTAAGGAAATGCAAGTTGAAACCTTTGGAACCGCCCTCACAGTCTGGAGGGGTTTGCGTTACAAAAAGTATCTCTATAACTATTGGGCAGCTAAGCTAACATTCAGATACAACACTCCTGGACCCACAATCCAAACATGTCTTGGTGGTATCTAAAATCTCCTTTCCTGTTCCTCATCTTCCTTCATGGAACTAGGTTCTCCTCGTCCAACACACCTCTCTCAGTACACTGACAGTTCAGCGGTTCCTTCCGCTCTTAAAACAAGTTATCACTTTCAAAAACACCTTAAGCTCTAAGCGCCAAACATATACATAACCATTAATAACTAAATACAACATATCCCAAATCAATTTCTCTTGATGTCTTTTCAGATGCCATATTACAACCTTATATCCCAATTTTCCTGTTTAACTACTGTCTGAATCATGTGTTATGTGTGGTCTTTAAATGTACACCATTTGAGTAAAATCTGAACTCACTCATATATACAGTGTTTTACAGTTTAGGTTAGTACATGGTGTACATGATTAAAATGGTCTGCAGATTTCTCTGATATATTGAGACCTCCAAAGTTTTGCCTTTTTTCCCTTTAAACATTTAGGTTTTTGTTAGTTGGTTTATAGATACATTGGTATTCTCACTGTCTTCTGAAGGTTTTATGTCCATCTTGAGCTGCAGATATGGTTTGGCTGCACTGACAAATGCAAGATCCAAATCCCAGTCAGACAGCAGAGACGTATACGTTTCAGCACCACTCCGATCTCGAGACAGGTAACTGATCCCAAAGTTCCGCTTCCTAGTTTGAAAGACAAAGAAAAGGAAATGCTGACACACATACTGTAACTCTTGTTGGGACAAACTCTGATAATATTTGTGTCTATACGGCACTTTAGCCAGGGTGATCGCTCTTACCCATTCAAATCAAAGGCTCTGATAAGTATGTGCTGCAGGACCTCCAGTGACGTTATCTGAGGATCAACAGCAAAGGAGCGAAACTCCACAGGAAGCACCCCGTCACATTTCTGAAAGGGATCACATCGCAATCTCTAAAATATCATCACAGAAAAATAAAATTATGGTACAACATGGTATAATACCATAAAGTATAAAATAATGATGGCTCGATAATAAACAGCAGAACGTAGTCTATGCACTGTTAATCTACTATTTTGGTGGCATGCAAGAATTGATGTACTGCACGGTTTTGTACCAAACAGAGGGAATGTGCACGGACTCAAACTGTGACATTTTTATGTCTTTAAATATCACAAAAAGTCAGAAAACATGTCTTTGCTAAGAAACGTTGTTTTATGAGCAGTTATCAAAGCTGTCACCTCATGGCACACCATTTTTTGTTTTTCTTGGAGTGATTACTGTTTACTATTGTGGGACAACAGAATCTATCAACAGCTCAGTCAAACATTGCGCCATTTTAGTCTGCATACATAATCAATACAAGATTGGATACTGCTGGTAAGACTGGGTTATGTATTTGAAATAATTATTATTTAAGTAAGAATATTAAACTAAAAGATAGTAGTATATCGAATATCCGATATCAAGATATGGCAAACATATACAAAATATATATATCATATATGAAATCACATAGCAAATGTTCGGTGCAATTAGCTGTGTTCTCTTGCTGAGACTGATTCCCCAGCTCTAGTGTGCAGTATGCAATACACACTTAGAAATCACTGTATGTGGTTTATTATTCAGAAGATATTCTACTTTGCAACATATAGCGAGACAATTAAATAACAATACGAGCTTCTTTTTATTGACAACAAAATGCCTCCAGGTAACGCTTGACGTCACGGAGTTCTGTCCGTGTATACACGCACGCATCTGCTGAAGAGGCAGGTGACGTCAGCTCCAGTCTGCGAGGGTTCACTGCTTTGGATTGAGAATTAGGATGGATTTTAATAATGTTTTCATAGATGAGTGTCAGTTATAACAGGGTGTTACAGTGGGTCCAAAATAACGTGACAGGAAGAGGTGATTAACCCCCCAGCTGACATAGACAGAATCCAGCGAAAAATAAAACGCTGGCGATAAACAAAACGATAAATTCGCAGGTAGCCTCGCTCCCGTCAAAAACACTGTTCCACAGCCAATGTTACAGGTGTTTCTGTCGACGTGTATCTCCACAAGGTGTGTTTGACAGAACAAACAAACACTGAGCAGACACTTCAATAAACAGGACAACGCGTTTGCTAGCTAACTAGCTGACGTTAGCAGACTATTTGTTGCTCAAACCTTGATCATCCTACCTTGACTTTGACACGAACCACCCCCCTCTCCTCCTCGCCTGCCATTTTAAAGACTCCGTGTCGGAACAGAATGGTTGTTCTGTGTTATGTTTTCGTTCTACGCCGACATGGTGATCTATAACATGAAGGGGGGTAGCAGTGGTCGAGTTCTTCTATTTCGTGATCTTCTTCTGCTTTGATTTCACAGAGGGTTTACAGCTGCATTACCGCCATCTACTGGATATAGCTCACTAACAAACCTCAAAGGACTACAGTGTACTGGTACAAAAGTCTAATTTTAACTCATGTCTTTGCTGTTGGGTAGTTCAATCTAGAACAATGCATTGTAAACTGATCACATATTTATATATATATATATATTTATATATAGTATAGTATACAATATAATACTTAATAATACTTAATCTGATCTCAGAATTTCAAACTTGTACCACTGTTATAGTTACTTTCCACCAAAATAGGCTACATATCACAACTGGTAGTGTGCTGCTGAGCATTTTCCAGGTTTGTAGAATTATTATTTACTTACAGGACAGCCAGGGAGCTATGCAAAGTGTTCTGTTTGCAGGTACAAAGTGTATTTAATTTAAACCCGCAGTGGAAACTATCAGGCCTGCTAATACCTAACATACTGACCTCAAGGTCTGCAACTCAGCCTGCCAAAAGCATGATGCTAGTCAACAGAATGCCAGTCTATGACTCCAGTCTGCCTCCCAGCATGTTAGTCTTCAGTCTGCTCTCCAGTCAGTTCAGTTTGGGTTTGTGCCTTCAACCCTCCAGTCCTGAGCTGGCTCCACAGTCTCCTGTCCCCAAGCTGTGTCTTCTGTCCAGTTCAGACCTAGAAAATGATGAAAAGTCCCCTGTCTGGGGAACTCACCTGGCCATTTTCTCAGGGTTCTGTGGTGGCCCTGGCTCCTGATGCCTCAGGGAGACTCAGGAGCCCATCTCTGCAGGAACCCCATCCTCCAGCCAGCCCAAGCCGCAGCACCAGGTTCCCAAGCAGCACAGCGACCCTGAGCCTGTCTCAGCTGCCCAACTACCCTGGGAATTGATTTGGACTTACTGTAACAAATATTTTGTCAAATGTAAAGTTTGTGAAGTGTATTTTAACATTATACATTTAATCTACCCAACAAACCACTTTTTAAATAAAACAGAGACACGATCTTTCTGAATCCTGTGTATTCTGTAATACTGGCACAGTAACAACTCTAGGCTATGTTTATTTTATGAATGCATTTATGTTAAATAAAATTTTTACAGAAAAGAGATGTTACTCTTCATTATGAGAAAATGATCTGCACAGAAGTCTTTATTTTAAATGTTTTCATTTCAAATGGAAAGTTTTATATCCATAAATGCAAATAGTGTGAATGGAAACCCAATACTCCTTAGTTCACGCATGAAATTAAATTGTTCTTTAAAACACTAAAAGGACTGACAGTCATCTACAATACATTGAAAACCTCTTTTTAATTCAAGTGTGTATGTGTCCCTTTTCTTATCCTTGTTCTTCTGTTTGTTACTAATTGTATTTCTGTTTTTTGAGTCCATCTATGGTCTTTAAATAAAATAAGTTTGGGTGGAAAAAAGGCTGAACTATCTGCCACCTTTCCGGTCACAAGACTGTCTCTTTTAGTGCATGCTGGGAAATGTATTTCTTGCTGGCTCATTTTCCAGTTGTTCGCAACCACAGTTGGTCGAGAGGAAACTCTGCTTCCCAGACACACCGTCGTTATCGTCCCTTATTACTTCATTTCCACACAGAACAAGATACACAGATGTCAGGTTTGTTACGTTGGTAGCAGACACCCACGCTCAGATTCAGTGTCGTTAGTGGATGCAACAGACTCTTTTATCATATCAGACGCTGGTTTGTAGCAAGACGTTTCAAATGCAACGGAGAGTTACAATGGATCTTGTCAGGGAAGTGAGGAGTGACAGGCTTGCTAATTAACTAGTAGCTAGTTCCTGGCTAACAGAAGATGGAAGCTAGCTCGCTGCCTTCATCTCGGGGAAACCCTCACTAATATTAGCTAACTCGGTGTTATTCAATAACCCCGCTAGCATCAGATGTTCTGCTAAACTCGCGCCCGTTAGCTAGTCTGTCTTAAGAGAAACTTCAGCGATGGAGGAAGTTGACAAAATTTTAATTCACGCCCTCAAACAAGTCGGAACGTAAGTATCAACAGCATTTTGTGAATTAATTTTTAGTTGTGCACAATGCCAACCCAACCACCAGTTACTGAAATGACATGTTAGCTTACTAATGTTAAGTTTTGTGATTAGCAACGTCACTGTCAAAAACTGTTCATGTAATGAATTACAGCAGCAGCTACGAGTCCATCACGGGGTCAGAGACATATGTGGGTTGTGTGAGGCAAAGATCGTGAGCTTGCACTGAATACTGTGTAACTGACAGTACCTTAAAGTGGCAGTCTCTTTTTAAGTCACTATATATCGCCAAATGAGGTAACACAGTGACTATGACCCACTGAAGAAATTATACAGAAGTTATTGCATTTTACAGTTTTATGAATTGCGTGTCTGGTAAAATCACAAGGAACACTCACTAACTTTGTGTCAGTGACTGGTGCTCCACCTCTCTCTCTTCTCTATTCTTTATTCTCTCTTCTCTCTCTCTCTCTCTCTCTCTCTCACACACACACACACACACACACACACACACACACACACACACACACACACAAATGAACAGCACTATGATTTTTGAATCCTAAATACAATTGCAGAAGTAAAAAGTTAATGTTAGGCTATAAACATCACTATCACCAAATAAGGTAACACCCTATGACCAACTGATGAATTTATGTTTCATTTTACAGTTTTATGACCCAAGTGTGGTTCAAAATCAAACCTGCAATTACCATGTATGACCATAGGTGTCACCTGCACAGAAATGAAACTCTTCAAGATTGCTACTTTAATATTTGATTTGTGACCCACAGGGAGGTGAGCGAGGAGATTGACAGTGTCAGACAGTTCAGCAGTGAGCTGATAGTGGAGGCGGTGGTCAGATGTATCCGGGTGATCGACCCAGGCCTGGGCAGCACGCTGCCCACGTCCCTCCCTCCAGGCATGTCTGCTCGCTTCAGAGTGGGCATGAGCCTGGCTCAGGCCTGTCAGGTAACACACCTCTAACTTATTTAGGATGAATGGACTGAATTAGCCGCTGTTGTTTGAACTTGAACAAAAAAGGGACCTGCACTCTGAAACTGCAGCTGCAGAGTAAAAGTGACAAACAAAATACATTAAATTTTCTGGACACCTTAAAGTTTAGTGTACAATATATGGGTAACAGAAACTATTTATGTAGTTCTACCTTGAGGCTTCAACAAATTGTGACAGTATGCCAATAACTTGCCTAAGGGAAACCTTAACCACAATTATTAGAGAGGACATACTTTTGAAACATTGTTTGTTTGTTTTGGGGGATACTTAAAAGCTTACAGTCCTGTCCAAAAATATCTAAACGTGGCTATGAATAGTGATAAAAACAGCTGATGAATGTACAATAGTGTATGTATAAATGTATAATTTGAGGAAACTCCCTGACAAATATTATAGAGACTTGTGTCTACCGATGTTCACCAGGAAGTAACTGGAGACAGCTAATATACATTTTACCTATAGTGCACTTTTCAAGACACTGAAGGATGCTTAATTAGAAGTTCAGATAGTTGTGGGCAAAATTCAGATGTGCCTGTATGAGTCCTGGCTCAGTTGAAGCACTGCCTGTCGTTCCCAGTAGTATTCCTAATATGTCATGTGGGTTTTCAGGATATTGGTTATAAAGGAGAGATCGGCTACCAGACTTTTCTGTACAGCAACGAGCCAGAGATCCGCTCCCTGCTCATGTGCCTGGTGGAGAAGCTGCCCAGAGAGAGTGCTGAGACCTCAGACCAGCCAACAGGTACAGAGAGCACCAGCCTGTCATCCACACAGTTCCATATCACCTCTCCTCAGAGAGAAAGAAAAACTGTACATGTATCGCTTTGTTGTTACATTAACTGGGTCAAATCAACAGAGGCCTCCCTACTGACCATCTTGGATTTGGTCCATACCTAATGTAAATAATGTCATTTTGTGCCCAGCAGCTAGTGCGCAAAATTTCCAACTTGAGTATCTTCTTTAGTTTCTGAGATGTGGAGGCTTTTCAAAACGGGTCATGGCCCTAATAAAGGAGTGTGGCTAAAAAAAGTTCCATGAGTCATTACTTTTCAACTATTCATGCTACATACACATTTTCAGGGATTGTTCTAAACTGTTAGATGTCTTAATGTTGTACAATGGTCGGGCGACAGTGCAGATTTGCCAAGTTATGGCTTGCTGAAAATTGTATTTAAAATGTTTTGCGCTTTAGAGTTGACTGTATCTTCAACCTGAACCACATCAGATCTTTTAGATTTTGATATATATTAATCTTGTTATAGGACTTTCTAGTTGCATGTCTGAGGGAAATAAAAAATTATGACTTATGTGGCATTAAAAATAAAAATAATAATTTCACATCTATATTTCAAGTGCATGTTGCCCATATATGACAAAGTCTACCCCAAAAACAATGATACTACTGGAAAGAGCCCATTTTAATGAGTCAATGCTCAAGATATGAAGTTGGTAGCTTGAGGTATAGGGGTGGACGATCAATCTTTTTGGGTTGAATCACAATCCATGATCTGAATCACGAGTCTCCCTACAGATTTAGTTGAACACATGTGATCATGATTAGTTGTGCATATGGTTGTCTGAACACAAAGCCTGTCACTTCAACTCAAAGGCGCAAGTCACAAATCTGTGTTCTGTTTCCGCTCTGATTTTTATCTGAAAGCCCTGACTGGAGGCAGTGATTCATACCATTCCGTCTTTTTGTCATGTCGTAACCTCTAATTTTATCACTAGATTAAATTAAAAAAAACATACTATGCACTTATCCATAAGAATTTATTATACTGATAGTCACTCCACACAGAATCTTACTAAAATGGTTTGATTTACTGCTCCGTGGAGCAAAGCTACACATGATACCAATCAATCAGCTTTCAAAGACACAACCGGTCTTGTATTCCCGTCTGTTACCTTAAGTGCATTGGTCATGAAACCTTTTTTTTTTTTAAAAAGCCTCCTAAAGATACTGAAGCTGAAGATTTTGCAGACTAGTTGTTGGGTACAATGACATTATTTACATTTAGTATGAAGCAAATCCAAGATGGTCAGTCAGAAAAGTTTTCTAACATCTGTTGATTTGACATGGAAAGTCACAAAGTGGCCACAGTTGCTGACAGGAGATTTAAAACTGGTATACTAGAGAATACAGAGGGATTTACCTGGAGCTGAGAGGATGAATCAGCAGTGGGTGAACTTGAATGTGACAGATATTAATGTATATTAAAAGTCCCACACTCCATCTTTAATGTAGTATCCAGAGCTTATGATTTGAACAGTCTGTGATTTAGTCAGTCATACTGTATATAAGAAATCTGAATATATCCAAGAACACTGCTGTTGTATGTGGAAAAGTTTAAAAGCAAACATTGTATCATCAGAAAAATGCTGTTGTCCCCTCTTTTTCACCTCTGCAATTTTTTAAGATGATTTTGGCATTTTGTTATCATGTACCTTTTATTTAAGTCATCCAAAGCTGTCTTTTTGTCCTGCAGGTAAATCAGTGGTCCTCCAGAGAGCCATTGCTGCTGCAATCAAAGCCCAGCTGGCTGTCCCCTGGCTGCCTACAAACTGCAGACTGCCACTGCACGGTGAAACACAAGTAAACTCTTTAAAGTTGCATTTTGGTGTCTGAAAAAAACCTTTGATACATGAGGATATCTCAAGCCCATCAGCAGGATTGGGAGAATGGCCAATTCAGGCATATTTAGATGAATCAGACTGGCTACACAAAGCCAGATCTATTTCCTAACTTGTGTTTATTTTACTGTGTAAATCTGCCCTCAAAATGATCCACCGAGTTCTGTTCTGGGAGCACACACTCTATCTGTGTCAGTGGTGTAGTTTAACTTAATCATCAGCACAGAGATGAACAAACTGCATAGCAACTGCAGCTAAGAATTATGGGTATGATAATATTATTAGTAATCTGCCATACCAAACTGATTGAAAAAATGTGATTTCTGTGAAATATAATTGAAATGAAAAATGGCCTTTGTAACCTAAATCTGATATATGACTGAATTATTCAGATCTGATTATATTCAGTGGTGGAATGTAACTAAGTGCATTTAAGCGCATGTGCTTTACTGAAGTATTTCAATGTGATATATTGTGCTTTTTGCTCCACTGCATTTATTTGACACATAAAGTTGCTAGTAAAATGTAAAATTAGTACCAAATCAATAATGTATAAAAATGTAATTCAGCATAATGAGTACTTTTACCTTTGGTACTTTTCAGCACATTTTTCTCTTGATACTTATGCATTTAAGTAATGTTTTAAATGCAGGACTATTCATTATAATAGAGTTCTAGTTGTATTTACACACTGTTGACACTCTTACTTAAGTAAAGCATCTGATAACAAGCAGAGGAAAGTGATGCATCTTAATGCAAGTCAGTTGTCAAACATACTGTATCTAAGGCTTACTGTATTGTACTGTGCATATGCAGCTGTATTATTATTATTTTTATTATTATTATTGTTAAATGTAACCTGCCCAAAGTCAGCTAATTCCTGACAGTTTACATGTTTTTCCTGTTTAGAGTCCAGCAGCACTGCACAACTTCCATGTTCAGCCCCTTAGTTTACCAAACTGCAGTAAAGGTCCAGGAAAGAAGCAGCTGAAAGGTAGGTCTCCTACTGCACATACATTACATACACACTGTATGATTTTAGTTGATCATGTTTTATCACAGTGTTGCAGCAACTTTCATAAAAATTGTGAAGCAGTTTGTTGAAATTAATTCATAATTTCAGGGGATGCATGATATATTATGAGCCGATAGACCTTCTTTGCTCTTCCTGTTTGCTCAATGAGATTCACCATACACACAGTGGACAGCAGTGACAGAGCAGAGGATAAAAACCGTGGGAATGAACGAGTAAATATGTTAACGCTTATTATCCAGTAGTAGGATGTTATCAAACGGCTTTTGAACAAGCAGAACATAAACTGTCAGAAATGCAACGTGTTTAAACGCTAATTGTAGGTAACAGCTGAGCCTAATTAGCTACATGTCTGACAGTTAGTTGAATTCTTGTAGACTTTGAGAGACCAGTCAGCCCCTCCTCTCTACCAGCAGGACCTGTCCAGCACTGTGTCTCTTCCCATCAGCAGCAGAGGGAACATGAATGATGACACAGGGTATGAATTGGTATAAAGTGTGTGTGTGTGCACTTTCAGAATTGAACGACTACCAGCGAGACATTCTTCCTCCCGTGACCGCCCAGCCTTCCCATCATGCTTCTGTGGTGGCATCCATACTGGAGCAGCACACCGCTGAGCTGAGTGCTGCTCAGGAGTGGGACAACGAGTGGAACAGTCAGGGACTCCTGTCTCGCCTCACTCCACAGGCAAATCATCACACTCTCTACAGTCATGTTTATCCGTCTGTTAATTGTTTTTGATCCTCTGGACAATGTATCTAAAATTGTTCCTTCCCAAGTGATTGGCAGCATCTGTCATTGCCATAAGATCAAGCTGCATGTGGGCTGTGAAATAAAACAGTTTTTACTGTGACTGTCTCTTTACCAGCCCTCTCTGTGTGCCTGTCATTCAGGGTGTGCAGAACATGCCGCTTCCTCTCCCATTAATCCTCTGACGATCTTAAAAATTTTTCTGATGTATTAGTTCAAATTAGCTCTAACTATTAATGATCTAATGATGTCATGTATCATAATATATCACACCAAACCAGCACTTTTACTTAAATACTTAAACTACATTTTGCTGCTAATACTTTTGTACTTTTACTTCAGTAGGATTTTTCATGCAGGATTTTACTTTGCTTGAAGAATTTTTACATTGCTGTATTGGTTTTATTTAACTAAAGGATCTAAATACTTTTCTCACCGATGATCTCTGTGCATTAGTTAGAGGTTAAATTAGGTCTTTGTTGAACAGGAGTACCAGTCACGGAAGCTGACCCGACTGCGGAAACGCATCGAGGAGCAGCTCCGCTCTGCTGCACTGCCCTCTCCTGAAAGTGCCTTTGGTGGTCCTCGCTCAACCTCTGACCTGGGTGAGCTACTGCAGGCCTTTAGAGCCTCCGCCCCCTCTGACCACATCCTGACCAAGGGTACTCACTTCACCCATACACAGAAGTTCACCTTCACACAGGTGAGGACCACTCCACCTGCAGAATGCTAAAATACCACATGGTCTAAAACAAATGTCTCAGTCTGCAGTGTCAGTCTCTTAACAGCTGTGTGTCCATGTCCTTGTGTGTGTGTTCAGGAGTCAGCAGCAGTAACCAACTCCATCCCCTCCAGACTTCAGTCAGAGGGTGATAGCCAGCAGCGTCAGCAGGAGGAACTGGCTTCACTCCAGCAGCAACTCCAGCAGCTTTGCAGTGATGTCAACCAGCTAACAGCAGACATGAAGCACATGAGTGTCACTAATACACAGGTAAAACACAGACACATATATACACACGCCTCAGCAAATGAATGGTTGTTGTTTCAAATTTGTGATGTGTTCTGGTGCAGGTGCTGGATGAGTTGAAGCAGAGAGAGATGGGGAACTCTGAGAAAGAGGAGAAGATGCAGGTGAAGAAGAAAACAATCGACCTGTTGCCAGACGCAGACAACAACCTGCTGAAGCTTCAGGTAGGAGGGCTGAGTGAGATCAGTTTGTGGTTGGAGACATGACATCAATCCCAGCTAGGCTCACATTTGGTTGAAACCTGTGTGATCCTTCCTTCAGGCTCTGGTGGAGGCCAGCGCCAAGCGGGTGGTGAACCTGGCCTCTCAGTGGGAGAAACACCGCGCTCCACTCATCGACGAGCACCGCAGACTCAAAGAAATCTGCAGCAACCGGGATGTAGGTGGTGTCTTACAACAGATCTGCCACTCAATTAATTACAGTAAAAACACATCTAGATTCTGTTTGTTTGTGTCTGTTGTCCTCAGTTGGAGTCGTCCAGAAAGCTGTCTGAGATCAAGTCTCTGCATGACAAAATCCGTGTGTCCACAGAGGAGGCCAGGAAGAAGGAGGAAATGTACAAACAACTGGTAATGGACTGAATTACATCTTTAGCCAAGTGCAAGATCTTTGTTGTACTCACAAGTTAAGTGTCATGTCGACACAGGTTTATTTGAAATTCTGTCTCTAACTGAGTTGTTAATAATCTTCTGGCACCTACTATCTACTAAATGTGTGTGTTTGACTGCATCATGCTTGTTCTCTTCCATTGCAGGTGACGGAGTTAGAAAACCTTCCTCAGGATGTGTCTCGGTCAGCATATACTCAGAGGATTCTAGAGATCGTCAGCAACATCAAGAAACAGAAGGAGGAAATTACGAAGGTAAAAGCAAATCAGAAGAAGCTGAATCTTTGGGGGTTGCAAACACATAAAATAAGTGGTTTGTAAGTGGACACAAGTGGACTTCTGTCATGAGTCCTCCACAGCACTGTAATGGTCACATCAGCAATTAAAACAGCATCACTGTGAAGGGAATTAGCTCATTTCAGTGACATCACTGCAGTCAGTGTGACTGAGCTTTAAGTTGTGCTGTCTATCAGATGTAACGTCACCAACACTTAGTTGACTTTCCATGGCAGATTCTGTCAGACACCAAGGAGCTGCAGAAAGAGATCAACAGCCTGACAGGAAAGCTGGACCGGACCTTTGCTGTGACTGATGAGCTGATCTTCAAGGTAGTGCTTTTTATTTTATTATTTATGTGCTATTGTTACATTCTGGTTTAATTGTTTGTCTACACAAGAACATCATCCAAGAGCCTGACCTCTCAAAACCAGAGCTCAAACAACAGGTGTGTGTTGTTGTATAACCAACCCCAATCTAAAGCAAACTAAAATCTCACCATTAGTTCTGCAGCTGCTAACGTGATATACAGGGTAAAGAGAGCTACATCCTGTATACATACTGTATATGTATGTGTTTCATGTATTAATTTGTTTATTTTTGTCATGTGTAGGACGCCAAAAAAGATGAATCTGTTCGCAAATCCTACAAGTACCTGGCTGCTCTTCATGAAGTACGTCATCACGTTTGCCCAGATTTCTCATAATTCATTTCACCTGTCGTCCCTCAGAGAACGTGTCAAATGTCATGTTTCCGTCTTGATTCTTCTACAGAACTGTAATCAGTTGATCCAAACCATCGAGGACACGGGCACCATTTTGAGAGAGATTCGAGATCTAGAGGAGCAGGTAGGATTTCTTCAGTTAGGATGGTTCCATCATCACTTTATTCACTTTGATAACATTTATTTGCTGTGTTACTCTGAGTGAGATGAGATCAGCATCAGTTTCGTCTGTGTTCAGCACAGAAAGCTGCAGGATGTGGTTTTCCCAGTTTAGCATAAAGACTGGAGGCATTGTTTGCATATATGATGTGTATTTAACAAATGTAGACATAAAACAAGACATTACATAAAGGCTGCAGTAGTGTAATAGTCATTTTTTATCAGGTGTGAGCCTTTAACGTACATCTCTTCTGCTGCATGTGGAGACAGTGACATTTTACTGACGTTTTCTGTCAAAAATAAATCAGATATTCATTTATAATGAAAAGTCCAACATCCCAGTAACCTGCAAACTTTATGTAGAGAGATAGTGCTGGCAGCAGCAGCAGCAGCAGCAGCAGCAGCAAGGCAGCCGGTGTGAACACACACGTGCTTCTCCGCAGCAGTTCAGCCACATCAGCCGCCACGCTCACGCAAACGCGGGCAGCGTGTTCCCGGTGTTAAGCTCATTGCTGCTGAGCCGCTCTCCCGTCACTCAGAGAAATCCTGCTCCATCTCTAGTGTTACATGGTTTGGATTTACCTTTCTTGATCAGAGTAAATATTTGTTTGTTTGTTATTTGACACAGGTGGATCAGGATGTGCTGCACGGTGTATTTTTTAGCAGTTTCCCTCCCCCCTTTGTGATAAGCTTTACCAAACAGTGTCTCTATACTGAACACACAGAAATGTAATAGTTAAGAACAGCCAGTGTGTGTGTGTATCTTAAAATCTAGTATTGCTTTTAAAATGAGTTTAACAGGACAGTTTACTACATTTTTCCCTGGCATCTTAAACAGATTGAGACTGAGAACGGGAACAAAACTGTGGCCAACCTGGAGAGGATTCTGGATGACTACAAGGCGATCCGACAGGAGAACTCTGCACTCGCCGCCAAAGTCCGAGAAGGCTGAAGGTAGTGCTGCTCTGTCCTGCTCTGCCTGCTGAGGCTGAAGTTGTAGTAAAAACATGGAGCCGTAGATGGATCTGATGGGACTGAAACAGCACTCCAGGTTTTACAGTGAAGAGACTGCTGTTCATTAACACCGCCCTCTGCTGCCATCGGAGCCAAGCTGATTTTTCTACCATGGAAACTAATCTGGATTTTAATGCACAACATGGATGGATGGATGGATGAATGGATGGATGGATGGATGGATGAATGGATGAATGGATGGATGGAGAAGACAATTAGTTTTTCATTTCAAACTGATCTCTGATGGTCCAGGCTCTGGTTTGATTATTCTGTACCCAAATGAAATGTAACACTGGGCAGCAGGGGGTGCTGTCAGACCTCTTCTGTTCAAATGTGTAGTCATTCATATTTCTGTATGAAAACGTTTTCATAAGATATCTTGATTAAGATCAAATGTTGGATTTTTTATTACAGGAAGACAGACATTAGCAGTTCCATTGTCATGACTATATTTGAGTATGGTGAGTGAATGGCATTTGAATGTAGTCCATTGATAATGTTGTCCAGCCCCATCAGCAAAGTATTGTTGTATATATGGCACCAGCTTAAATAAAGATGCCTTACAAACTTGAATGGTCATGATAAGTGGACCTGTTGTCATCATCAAACACCCCAACACAGTGTCTTAAATTCAGATAACGGAGCAGACTAAAATCAAAGTGTTTGCTTTATTACAATTACACATAATTTTAAGATGCTTGTAATGGACATAAATGTGATCAGTTTATAGGTGTATGTTGAGTTTTAAACTAGTGTTTACAAACGTTAACAACTGGGTTTAATGAATAACGAGTTATTATTTAACATTACTGTCTGGATTAAAACCAATCAACCAGTTTGACAGTTATACTGTAGCAGGTTCTAATCCCACTTTTTAAATTTTATTATTTATTAAGTTATGAAGTTTTATTATCCTAGTTCTCTAACTAACCTTAATTCTACCAATAAAACATGAATTCAGTGAAATCTTACCATTTTCTTTTACTGTGAAATACAGTAATCCTTCATCAGTGTAGGGACCAGAGAAAGATGGTTTTCCACCATAATTATATCATTATGATTAACAATATCAAACACTTGCTCTCTGACACAGAGTCACACTTCCTGCTACATGATCAAATTAAATTCAAAATAACTTTTATGCAGCGGAAACATAATGTTTTTTTTTGGTGCATATATGAATCCCAGTCCCACGCACCATCATCACCATGCACATTGCTGAAAAAATGTAAAAAAGAATGAAACAGACGGGTTTCATCTTGTGTGATTTTTATTAAACAATATCCACATATGCTGTCCAAATGAATTCACACATGAATAATACCAAATTAATTCACAGTTGTATAAACTTAATGTCAGACTTTGACTGACTGAAGATGTTTTTTTTCCAGTTTTGCCAAACACAGCTTTGCAGAATTACAATACATAACACATCTATTGAAGTGAATTATCTGAACGCATTTGTTTGGTTACCTCCTCCTGCACGGCTCTCTGAGGAGCAGAAATAATTGGACGACAATGTTAAACACCATGATGGGATCTACTTTTAACAGCATTTTTGTCAAGCAGCACCAGCAGCACCAAATATTTGTTCTCCATCAAACTTTGTTGATAATTAAATTAATTTTTCAATTTAGACATTTTTCCCAATTTCCTTTTAATGTTGCAGTTACACCACATTAGCAATACCACATAAAACAGCTTTTGGTGGTTGAGGGACTTCCATGGTCAACATGTTCATCAGCTCCTCATGTAGAATGGAGGAACACCACCTGTGATGGGTCATGGTGGTATGTATCAACCTGGGTGGGTGACAGGACAGAGCTGGTCTCCTCTTCACACTCTGGAGGAATGGACTGTCCATATAATTAATGAAAACAGTCCCACCAAAGCCCTGAGCCTTCCAGCAGTAGGTTGAATCATGCTTCCTATCCAGAGGACTGGAGGGGGGGTGGGGGGTGGGGCGCAGCAGTGGGCTGCTGTTGCTGTAGGGCTTAGGGGGTGCACTTTAATGGCCGCCGTGACTTCGCTTTTCTCCGCTCATCCAGTCAAGCCCGATGAATGTCAGGCTCATGGTCATGAAAATGAAACCCAGTGCTGTGAAACACGCAGCCTGAAAACCCAAAGGAGACGCGTCAGTACAGAATCACTCCTGACTAACTCTGTTGTTCTGCTGATTTTTTTCCCTCTCAGTCACAGAGAGACCTGAACCCACCTGGATCTTTGGTCTGGAGTTCATGGGCTCCTGGTCGGTGGGGATGATGCGGATGTAGAAGAGTCCAGGAAGGATGAAGATCAGACTGGGAGCAGTGGTTGCTCCTGGACACACAGAGGAGGCACAATAAATCAGTGCACAGTTTATCTCACAGGAAGCTACTGGCAGGCTTTGATTTTAAGTCTAATGTCTCACCAGTTATGCCAAAAATGTCTCGAATGTTGGGAACAAGGATGACCAGCAGGTTGACCGCAAACAGCAAACACACGGCGATGGCGATGTGACGGAGCCAGTGGAAGGGCTTCCCTGGAAACAGCAGCTGCAGGAGAGCACGACGGATCTGACAGAAACACAGACGTGAGTTAACACACCACCTCAGTCCGTCAAACACATATCAGAAGAGGCGTGTCAGAGAATCGTTTTATATCATATATACATAATGCAATGTGTTTCCATTAGAATTCATCTTCATGTACATGGAAGTTATTAATAAACGAGAACAGTATTTATTAAACCTTTCCGCACAAATGTTTCATATTAAAAGCCTTACTGTCTGCCCTTCCTGGTAGGCTTTTAATATGAAACAATGCACAGGAAGTAGAGGGAAGTGGATACATCTCTGCTGTTGTACCGTTGGTATGATCAGAGGCTCCTACGTGCTGCATGTTAGTGCTGGACTTTGAACACATTGTAGAACCCTGCACAATTTACTTCTGTATTTCACTTAGTACAAAGACACAAAAGCATCTCATGTGAGTGTCAGAGTGTGTCAGACGGGTGTGTGTGTGTGTGTGTGTGTGTGTGTGTGTGTGTGTGTGTGTGTGTGTGTGTGAAGGCCAGACATGTTCTCACAGGAAACAAGACCACAGGTACAGTGAGAGTGACAGCCACCAGGACGGCCAGCCGAACGCACAGGATCAGAGTGTCCAGGAGATCCACCTTACTGTAGGTATGGAGAAGCTCTGCTTCAGTGTTCTCTATGCACACACACACACACACACACACACACACACACACACACACACACACACACATAGACATTGAATCTGTGACTTGTTGGTGCCATTAAACTGAATTATGTTTTGCAGCTGACTTAAAGAGATGTTGCTCTCACCATAGAAAGTCAGATATCCAAATATGGCCGTGAAGAAGTACATGATGAACATGCCCAGGATGGAAACATTGCCAATATTCTGCATTCTCCTCTTGGTTGGGCTTTAGGGGAACAAAATGACAGATGTTTTAGCAATACAGTACATGAGGTCACGAGAGGGACGTTATATTTATAGATACAAAATATTGGATTGCTTTAAACCCTAAATGTGGAACTAAGTGCATTCATTGAAAATAATAAACAGTTTTACATAATCTGGATAAACTCTTGGTTCACAGATTACTTATAGTAAATCAGACTTATCCTTTAACTGTGATTGATTTTTATAAGTGGGAATTTAAAAACAGGTTTAGATTTTGGGCACATCACAAAATTAGGAGAGTCAACACAGTCAAGGATGTGTTTTCACTTCTTGAATATGTGCTGTGGAGAGTGTAAGAATTCAATAACGTGTGCATCTTACTTGCTGAGTTCAGTGTAAATGGGAAGCACTTCAGGGTGACATACGAAAGCAAATGCCAGGATGGGGATGGTATACGCCGTCTGCAAATCAAGTCACAGAGGAACTTCACTTGGTTGTTTTCCAGGAAGTATATGAACTCTAAAACACATCCAGCCATGTGCTGTGTGTAATATGATGCACCCACAAATAGTTTCTGACTATACACGTGAGATCTGTTCAGAGCACATTGCAGTGCTCTGAACAGATCTCATCATAAATCAACAGTTCAAACTCAAATCTTCAGTGTTTGTGTTTTTGTGCTTGAAATTCAGGGAGTTCATGTCTGACCTCTTGATTGTACGTGAAGAATTTGGCGGTGCATGTGTCCTCTGGGACGGCTGCGTTCACAGAGTAGTTGCCAAACACTTCCAGAGGGCAAGCAATGTTGAATCTCTTGTAGATTACCTGATGTGAAGCAGTACAAGAGTTTGAGGAGGTACAACAAATGTTACCGTTTCTTTCTTTGGTTACAAAACAACATACCTTGTGGTCCTTTTTGCAACATTCCCAAAACATACATTGTTTGGTTGTGATTTTAACTCTTCCTGTCTCTCTATCGTGGTAATTGATATATTGCACCAAGTGGCCACTGCATACATTCCCCAAAAGGGTCAAACAGTGCACTGCAGCAGCTGGTGAGGGTAACTCATCTCTGTCAATCTGGGCAAAACCATAGGGATTAAACCTAGAGGTACTGAGAAGAATAAGCTGCATAACTTGTTTTATTAGGTTTTATTTTTAATTTTACCAAGACTGTTTTTTTACTTGAGGTGGGATAATGTAGTGAATGTTTGAATATTCTGTTTAGTCTGTAAATTTAAAATGAACAATAAACAAAGTATTGAAGAAAAAAAGAATAAGCTGAAAGCTACAGAGACTATACTAGTTTTAACTGGGACTGTACAATTTCTTCTTCCATAATGCTGCAGTTTATGCATTTTACTTTTCTTTAATTAAAAATTCATTTAAGTTTCATTTTAATACCAGTGAACCATAACAAAGCACATGGTCAGTGATGACAAGAAGCATGCTATTTCTTTTTGTTCTGGTTTATAGTTCACAAATACAAAATGTCACTTGGTCCCAGACAAGGGACCGTCTATAAAACAGCTCACCTGGGCCTTTTATCTTGGTTTGAGACACACCTGAGCTGAAGCCAGCTTTTATTTGGTTTCTGGTGTGACATTTGTACGTTTTATATGTCCACATCGTGGTATATGAATGTTATTTCTAGGAGACATAGTTGAATGGTGTCATGATCACAGTTGGTATAGTTACCAACTTTAGGCACATCATTATATCTTGTTGCCTTTTAGTAACCACTACAGCTTAGCGGTAATTTCCTTATACATAATAATAAATAATTCCTCTGGCACCACCTGTATTGTGACAGTAGCCATTAAGTTACATGTGACGACCTACAGACTCACCGCAGAGAGGAAGAAGACCATGCACGAGAGAGAGAATCCACTGGTGTAACCCAGATACCCTGCAGAACGCAAAAACGCAGAACATCAAAATAACAATTACACATAGGCAATGTTGCTGTGAGAGTTATTATGTTAGAACAGATTTTATTTGCATTTCTTTTGGCTTTCTTGAATGATACCGAGATCAGAACCAGTATTTTGTCTCCTACAGCTTTGTGAAGTTGTGTCTGTATCAAATGCAGCTTACACCATATGAGGAACCACAACCTTCTAAAGACTTGATATTATTAATGGCCTTTTCGTACACAAACT